CAAAAAAAAAAAAAAAAAATGATTGTACGCTGAAAACTGGTAAATGGTTATGGTATGTGACGTTTCCATAAAGTTATTAAAAAGAAATATGTTTACACACCTATTCATGCAAAAGAAATAAAAGAATGATAAACCAGAAATTATAGATTGGTGACCTACAAGGAACAGGGTAGAAGGTGGAAAGAAGGAGGCATATAAACAGGGTAACAGGGACGGGAAAGGAGCTCCACCTCTCTGATGATACCTTTCTGTATGGCTCTGACTCTCAGAACCAAGGCGATGTTTTACATACGTGCAGACATACATATGTACATACACGCATACCAGTGAACCAGGAGATAAGGATTGGAGGGGATGAGAGTGGATAAAAAATGAACAAATTAATCTAACATTGTAAACTAATGAACATAACCAACCAAGTAACTGAAAAGCAACACCCGGACCGGATGTTATAAAGCTAAAAGCAAAAAGAGCTACCTGCTGTCCTCTAGTTTGTGAGAACTATACTCTGGCTCACAGGGTTATGAATCACTAATCTATAAATACTTTTGGAAAAAGAAGTTCTGAATAAGCAAGGAGGAAGGATAGAATGAATGTTGTGGTATTGGTATGGAATCCAAAGTGTCGCTGTAACTTCGTGTTTTTCGTATACACAGGTGAATAGATGTAAGGAATAAACACATATGCATATGTGCATTTCCTAGCTCTGTGTACTGAGAGGAACCAGGAACAATGACACCCAGTAGCAAAGAAACTACCACCCAGGACTTGGTGTTTTATACCATTTTCCAATCAAAGGACCCAGGATGACGGGAGAAGTGACTGACTCCAAGATTGGAAGCAGGAAACGTAAGCGGTGTCTCAACTATCATATGGTACTAGGAAGTCAGGAATTTCTATCTTAACAATGCCAAAGTGACACAGGAAATTATGGGAAGGAACTCCTAATGGCTAAAGCTGGAATGATTTGAGCCCAAAATAAATAATCATAGATAGAATAAAATCAGTATCCATGATTCCTAGTAGGGTAAATAAATACATGCATACATAAGTAAAGAGGGGTGGGAGGGCCAATCTTCCTTATAGAAAAACCCCAATTAATAGATGTATAAAGAATAAGGGAAATGCAAAAACAACCAACCCAATAGGGTGCACATCATAGTAACAATTACAAAGCCAGACATGGTGGCATGCTACTATAATCCTCCAGGAGGCTGAAGCAGGAGAATTGTTATGAATTCGAGGCCAGCCTGGACTGAATAATGAACTGAAGGCCAGCTTTACAAGACCTTGTCTGAAGAAAAAAAAAGAAAAAACAATTACAGGCAAGATCCATATGTCAATGCTCATAATGGATAAAACTGAAGGACAAACAGGATATTGGCATGGTACTCCCCAAACTATGCTTCTATTATTAAAGGGGGGAAAAATGGTAACTTTGCAGGGTAGAAAGCTGGCAGACACCATCTGAAGCAGGTCACCAAGGTTAACATCACCAGGAATGGGCCCTGGGGACACCATTGTCCCTGATGTGACACATGGGGCACACAACAGGGTTTCTGTGGCAGCCTTGCCCAAAACGCACAACCCCAAACTTACCCTGAGAAAACGCTAGACAGACGAACGGAGCGGTACCTAGCAAAATGTCATGGGAGACAAGGGAAGCTTGAGGGATTGTCAGATTGTGGGAGACGAAAGGGACCAACAGCTGGATAATATGGCGCCATGAATTGGATTCTGGGACAGAAAAAGAACGTCAGGGAAAAGCTGGTAAAATCTGAACCATGCTTCTAGTTCAGTTAATAACATTGTGCCGATGTTAACTTCTTGGTTTGGTAACTGTATTATAGTTTTATAAAATGATAACATTAGTGTAAGGTGAGTAATTCATGCATGAATTTTGTACTGGTTTTTGCAACTTTTTTGAAGTCTGGAGTTATTTCAAAATAAAAAGATTTTCAGGCAAGGGGTGTAGCTCAGTGGTACGGGACTTGCCTAGCATGTGTGAAGTGCTGAGTTCCTTTTCCAGCTCTGGGGAAAAGAAGTTGTTTTAAAAAAGGAAAACATAGCTCCTTACACAAAGACCAAGTTTAGATTCATCCTGGGTAAAGTTCCTTAAACTCAGAATTAAGTATTGACTACTGAGACACCTCCCCAAAGTCTAGAACATAAGGAAAAATCATTTAGAATAAAACATCACTTATCTAAAGCCACTTTTGAGTTATACTATTTTTAAGCTATTTAATTAGGGCCCATACTTCCATTTCTCTAATATTTTGATAGAAGAAACATTGTGGAGGATAAAATTCTCGGCATTTGAGGCAAACCCAGTTGCCATCATTAAATTTAAGTATGAGGAGTGATACTGGCGATAATTACGACACAAATGATATCATGGATTGGGCTCCAGAGGTTTAAAAATCATGAATCCAAGACACGGATAAAGAAGGTATATCTCTGAATTCTTGCAATTTTCATTTCCTCTTCTTGTACTTCTTGGATAAAATTTCCTCTTCTGGATTCCTGGTAAGAAATCCAAAATAACAGGGATACCTTTGCTCATTAAATTTATACTATAAAGATTTTAAAAAATCAAATCCTTCTAGGGTTTCAGTTTAAAATGACAGTACAAAGGATTTATGTTTGCCATTAACAGCGATTAGCAGCCGGGTATGGTGGCATAAACCTGTAATCCCAGCACTTGGGAGACTGAGGTAGGAAGATTTGAGGCCAGCTTGGGCTACATAGTGAGTTCAAGGCTCAGCCTGGACTACACAGCGAGACCTTGTCTGAAAAAACCACCATAAAACCTCCCTGACAAAATAGTGATTAAGCTGTGGATAAAGGAATAGGAAGCTCTTTAATTTTCTTACACATTTTTGCATTTGACTTTTTATAACAATAACAGATTATTGTAAAACAAATTTTAAGTGTATATACATATATAAATATATAACGCCAGTCTATCATTAGGTATTTTAAACTAAGTAGCAGACTCTTCGAATATAATCTGTTAGTAATTCAATCTCATTTGTAGTATCTCAAGAGCAGAGTCAGGAAACTGTCACTTGTCACTCTGCATCATTTACTAAAGACATACTTTATCTAAAAGAAAGGAATGGCAGAGCTTTTTGCCCCAAAGCATAGGCAGAGGCTAGAGGTCAAGGAATATCCATATGGTTAAAAAAATGACCTTGGGCGAGGGATGTAGCTCCATGACACACCTTCTGCCTGGCAAGTGCGAGGCCGTGAGTTCGATTCCCAGTATCAAAACAAAACAGAAATTATCTTTTCTCCTCCAAGCAAAGGGCCAATATATGTGAATTCCAGTACTGCAAATAGAACAGTTACTTTAGAGAGGGCACAGAATGAAGTGGCTCCAAAGGTATTTCTGGATTTTTTTTTTCGAGTAAAAAGCCTTTTAACTTCTTATCACTTGCAGGGCGGGGCGGAGGGGGGGAAAGAAGAGGGAGGAAGAGAGAGACAGAGAGACAGAGAAAGAGGCAGAGAGAGATGGCTGCCTGTCTCTGGGAAGATGTGAACTTAGCTTCAGAAACACAAGGGCTTCAGGAAGAGGAACCACCAACCCCACTGGCTGTGAGCCTGACCAAAACACGTGCACCTCCTCTGATGGGAAAGGCAGGAGCTGTCTTCTTCTGGCTCCAAGCAGAGCTTCCCACATGATTCCCAAGGGGTGTCTTACCTGCCCCAACATCCAAACTTGCCCATCATAATCCCATGTGTTATTCCTATTTCCTGTCTCTATTTCCTTTTGGTCTTGCCTCCTTTTTAAACAAATCTCCATTTAAAATCCCAGCTTGTCTCAGCTGTGCTAAGACCGGGAGGTGGGGGCTAGAGATTGGGCCATTGCTACAACACTCCAAAAACATCTCACAGTCGCCCACATGTTTTGTCATCTGCACATTCCGTATCTAGATATTTCATTTGTAGATTTGTAGATTTGTTAGAAAAGACCTTGTGTCAAGGTGCCACCAGTGATTGAGCCCATCTTGCACGCTGGTTTATTGAAGAACAAGAGTGTTTACCACAGACCAGGCACCCACCAGACATTACACGCTGTTCTAATATAGAGAAGCTTTATTACTCAGAGGCCAGGAGATGAAACAGATTGGTTTGAAACATCAGAGGATGGACACTAGTTCACTGAGTAGAACCAAAATAGGCATTTGTTAAAACGTGCTTGCCAAGGTCAGATCCAGAGGCAGGAGGGAGCTGCGGAGGTGAGCTCAATGCGCTTTATCAATTTTAATCTTCTGCCTGCACAAGCTGGCTATAAATAATACAAACAGTGGGATTTCTCACCCAATCAAAGAGGAGCAGCAGCAGGCCAAGTGACTAGGAGAGACCAGGGTCTGGGACAGAGCTGTGGTGGAGACTTGACTTTCGTTTTTTTTTGTTTTTGGTTTTTCTCCGGTACCGAGAACTGAACTCACGACCTTGCGCTTGCCAGGCAGGCACTTTTGCCGCTGAGCTAAATCCCCAGCCCTGAGACTTGACTTTCTTTCACCCATAGGCTAATTGTGTGATGGCAGCCACAAGTCCCCTGGGCCTCAGCGTCCATCTATAAAATAAGTGATGGGTTGGCCCAGAGCCCCCTGAAGGGGCCTGGGCAGCCAGCTTCAAGATGCCATGATCCCATCCTAACACCTTTTTCATCCTGCAGGGAGTGCCCAGACCCCAGCCTGCCTTGAACTTTAGAGTTCATGACATGGAGCTAATCCCCTGTGGGCAGAGTCTAGACTTCATACTCCTAGATGGGAGGCACTAAGGGTTAAAATATCCCTCTGCACACGTCTTTCCAGGGTGAATTTTCAGCTCAAATGAGACAGGCCCTTGATGTAGATCTAATGCTTAGCGTGTCCCAGTGCCAAACAGCCCAAAGCCATGGACTAGATGGAGCCTCCAGAGCCCGCTGGAGAGGGCAGGGCTCCAGCGCTGCTCTTCAGAGTGGGGGGTGCAAACTGCCCTGGGGTGTAGATCTGCCCTGCCCTGGCAGGCACAGCCCCCCTCGTAAGCATAACTGTTTGCCTTCTGTGCCTACACTGAGTGGGACCAAGAGATACTAAGGCACCTCTTTTCCTTTCTACAAGTTAGACAAAAGGACACTTCACAGCCAGATAAAATCACACGATCAGCGCTGGGAAAGACCCAATATTCCCAGTCCTTAAGGATCTGAAATGCATTTCAAAGAGCAGGTGATGTAATCCACAGGTTGAGGCAGCGCTTTCACCAACATGCGTGGCAAGCTAAGGATGCAAAAGCTGCCCTTCTTGGCTCTCCTATCACACCGCGGTCCCCAAGTCACTTACCCTCACACTGCCTGCCCTCCCCCTGGTAGCCAGGCTTGCAGGAGCACTTGTAGGAGGCGGGTGTGTTCTGGCACAGGGCATCAGCATGGCAATCGTCTAGCCCCCGGGCACACTCGTCTATGTCTGCAAAAGAGTACAGCAAGCACCCAGCATGGTGTCCAAGTCATGTACGATGTGGCCTTGGCCCTGTCCAGGGCCATCTTCCCCCTGCCCGCCTCACTTCACCCCTCACAACCACGACTGCTCAGGAGCCCCAGGACAACCCATGCTGTGCCCGGGTCCCTGTTTCCAGATGCAGCCAGTCCCTCTACCTGGAATTACAAACCCACGGCGGTCTCCTGGCCGGTAAGATTCAGTTTTGATCCTGGAAGCCTGCCCTGACCCCCAGTGTCGGGGAGGTGTCCCCATCTGTGCTCTGGTTCTCTCCTTTCACAGCACATACGGTGTGGGGTTGTTACTTTACTGTCTGTCTCTCTACTAGACAAGGTCTGACAGCAGACGGAGTCCACGTCCTTGATGGCCTGGCACAGGAGGAGGCAATGCTAACTGCCGCTAAAGGAGGGAGGAAGCAGGTAGGCAAAACGGCTGTGAAAGCCGAAGGGTTGTTCCGGGAATGGGAGTAAAGACAGCCCTGGGCTCTGAGCAGAAACCACCCGGAGGTCTCAGACGGTACAAAGTGGGGAGGGGGTCGCCACTGCCCCCTGCCCCGACCCTGCGCGTCTTCTCAACCTGGAAAATGGACTTGGCACGAGTATTTCCTGGGCTGACACCATCCCAAGATGCTACTTGAAAACAAAACAAAAATGTTTTGAAAGGATTTCAAATTCAGTTAGTGCAGAACTTCTAGAGTTCCTATCTCTGGCTGCCAGAAACCTAAACTGGTTGCTGCTTAAGGACATTCCCAGGTCTTCACACTGGGGCGTTCAGCAGACAGAAGTCCGGAGCCAACCCTGAGGCTGCCAGGAGAAATTCCCGACCCCAAATTTTGAAAGGGACAAAACTGCCCCGACCTCACAGATGGACCCTGGGCCAGACCCTCAGTGTCCCCATCTACGCAATGGGAAGCTGGACCCCAGGGCCCCGTCAACCTCCTCCCCGCTCAGCCGGCAGCCGTCTGACCACTCTCCGGGGACCCGGGGGTCGGGGCGGGGCGGGGGCTGTCACCGGCTCGGGGCTCGGGGTCCGAGGCCGGGCCGATGGACTCAGGCCCCGGGCCTCTGGCCCGAGCGGGGTGGCGCCTCGGCCTGGCCG